TAAACTTCTCAAGGTGGAGGAGCTTTATGTTTTGCATGACGCTGACCTCATTGGCCTTTCACGTCTACTCCAAATCGAGAACAAGTGGGCCAAGGGTCACAAGAAGCAGTTTCGCCTCCCGGATTCTTACGCAGAGCCTAGTGCAGGTTCCACATGAAACTACAAACTTGAGGCCAAGGGGGGGGCGAAAGCTAGCGCTCCAGAATGGGAAAGTGGAGGGCAGCGAGGTAGGAAAAAACACGGCGCTCTTTTTGGAGGCAGGGGTGAAGAGTCCTTTATATGTGGTTCTTTGCCCGGATCCTCCTGCGAGAGAAGAGAGAGAAGAGAGACGGAAAGACGAGAGACAGAGAGGAGAGAGAGAGAGAGAGAGGAGAGAGAGATGAGAGAGATATGAGAGTGTTGAACTGGGGAACCGCAGGGACCTCGAACAGCTTTTCACTCCATGGCATACGAAAGGTCGCAAAAAGCACGCGCCGAACCACGGCCCCTAAACATTGGGCCATACAGCCACCGTTCGATCGGGATCAACCATGCTTCCTTCAGGGTCGTGCGTTTCACACAGTTCCTCAGTTTTTCTTTGATCCCGATCTTCCGGATTTGCGAACTGCTTTGGCCTGCTTGACGGGCCTCGGCACGGCGCTTCATCTGGTCCTCTGTGGGACGGATGCTGAACTTGCCGCTCCTAATCAGCTCGCGCAGGGCCAAGTTCGACCCCTGGACTTTTGTCAGTCCATCGGCTGGCATGGCAAGGTGATCTACCCACTTCACTGCGCCGCCCAGTTGCCGTAGGTCTTGTCGAATGATCTGGATCTCGATGGCTGTTCTCTTGTCCTGGCCTCCGAGGCAATCCTTTGAGAGGTGGTCGTACAAGGACTTTGCGTCCACGACTGCCAGCGACTCCTTGAGGTCGCTTGAGCTCGTCTCCGAACTGACCACCAGGAGTTCTTCTCCACGTAGGCGTTCACGCCAGGTCTTCACATTGAAGGTGCTGCCCTCGAGCTCCTGAGTCACCACCAAGATCCTATAGGAGCTCAGCTAGCCCCCTTGACAAGCTCTGGGTCTCGGCAGCCAAGGTGGAATTTGCCACCCTTTGCTGCTTTCCACTCCACCAGGCCACTATGTTCGTGGTCGTCGGCCCTCCGTCACGAAGGTGGTTCTCGTGAGCCAGAACCAGATGTCCTCCTTGAGAATGGAAGCCATTGTTGGCGAAGGAGGCGTCAGTCACCACGCTCATCTTCATCCTTTGCAAGGGCTGGATCTGTAGGCTGAGGCTCGCATTGTCCTTCAAGTCCTGGACCACCTGGTTGAGCTGGATGATATCTTCAATCATCAACCGTGACAGTTTCGACGAGATCAGACTGGAAGGTCCGGAAGCGTCTGTCCGTCCTTCGCGACTCAACCAATTCAGGGCTCCACATGTGTCCCGGATCTCCTGTTCATTGGCGAGGGCTTTTCGATCGCCCTTCCGTCCTTTCTCGAGAGGTACGGGGTGAAGCCTCTCTTCGATGAACTTCTGCATGTCCACTAAGAAGGTGCCGTCTTGTAGCTGGCAAATTCGACGACCGTTGAAAGCGCAGCCGTCCTTCTCCGCCTGGAGCTCCACGTACTTGCCGAAGTTATACTTCTCGCGAAGCTTCTTCATCTTCTGGTGGTGCTCTTGGTGGCCAACGGTAAACAGGTCGTCTACCTCGATCGCGATAGCTCCCAGCAGCTTCCTCCGAGACTTGTCATAGAGCTTCATGATGCGAGGATCCAATGCTGACATCTCATATCCGAGCTGCTGGAGGTCTTCAGTCAGCGATTTCCTCCAATGCAAAGGTGCATCGACCAAGCCATAGCAGCCTGCAATGATGAGAACGATTTGCTCCGGGTGTAGTCCGACTACTCCCTCTTTCGGCTGCTGGAAGTATAGGCTCCCCTTTGGTCGATGGAGAGGTTGACTTTGGCAGAAGGCATTCTTCAGGTCTCCAACAGTCGCCGTCATCTTCTGGTTGGCGGCTATCTGCAAAAGGACGTTGAAGTTGACCGTGTTCAGAGTAGGTGAGAACCTTTCTAACTCCAAGATGTCAGGGTCCAGATCTCCGCGAACGCATAGCCTGGACTTCTTCGTAGGGGCTTCACATGGTTGTTCCCCGGGCTTGTACCGCCTGGCAATCTTGGTCGGCAGAATTCTGTCCTCTTGCCCGGCTTCTTGAAGTTCTCGTCGCACCTTTCTTGATGTCTCTAGGTCCAACACTTGGACCGCCCCGCTCTGGGTCACCTTGTTCCACTCTGAGAGGTCTTCTGCCAACTTCCATTCTTCTTGATCTTGTGCACTTTCTCGACTTAGGTTCACTTCATCTTGTCCTTTCTTCTCCGCCACATAGTGCCGGGCCTCAGCGACGTTCTCCAGGAAGAAGGTGGTCCTGCCACGTCACCAGGTCTCTTCGAACTTTCGGTCCGGTGTCAGCCAGTCATCATGCTCGACCTTTTCGCTCCCAGCGCGGTGTAAGGTAGTTCTCCTTCTGTTGGTGAACATCGTCCAGGGCACTGGGGCGTCTCCGTTGAACTTCGGGTCGAACTTGGCTTTCCTTCGTCGGCCATGATGGCGAGTGATCTCTCCCTTCTCCCAATCGACCGTCCAGAAGTCCTTATCCTTGGTGGAGCTTAGCTGTCTGATCTTCTTCAGCCTGGCCTCGTCTTGTTCATCTCTAGCTTCTTCCTCCTCCGCCAGAAACCACTCCTGGTACTGCAGGTACGGTGCGCCATAGTCCCTCGGTCCAGCTCTTTGTTGCCAACGATAGATTGGCCCACTTGCCCAATAGACCAGGTTAGACAAAAATTGTCTAATAGACAACTTTATTAAAATTTGTCTATTAGATAAATTTTTGTGATTTGTCTTAGACAACTTTATGTGACGAAAAGTTATCTAATAGACAAAACAAAAGTTGTCTAGTAGACAGAAATCTGCTGTCTTAGACAAATTTTCGCGGCTGCAAACGAGGAAATTTCAAGGAAGTTTCCTCGAAACTACCTCGTCTGTTTTTCAAAACTTCCTTCAAACTTCCTTTCTTTTTGTGGCAGTTTCGAGGTAGTTTGATGGAAGTTGGTAGGCAGTTTCAACCTGCAAGTGTGGAAGTTTGTCATGCACATGGACTGAAACTGCAAAAATATGCAAATTTTGTAACATAAACTTCCTCATGCCTATGATGAAACTGCAAGTAAACTTCCTCAGCGCCTGTGGTAGTTTTGAGGAAGTTTTGATTTGTCCGAGACAAAAAGATTGTCTCAGACACAGCCAAAAATAGTCTAAGACTGTTTCTTCAAAATAGACTTGGACAAATTTTGAAAAGTTGTCTTAGCCAAAAATCATGTTGTCTTAGGCAACAAAAAAGTTATCTATTAGACAATTTTTTTACAAAATAGATCTTAGACAAAAAATAGTCTAACCTGGTCTATTGGGTGGAGGGTTCGGAGTCCCATCAAGCCGGCTTGCTCTTGCTTCAGAGATTCGCATGGCCTCTTGTACTTGAGGGTCCAGTCCGCTTGTCGGAGCCATGGCGCCAACGGCCGGTGTCCTTGTAGGAGTCTCTGGTACTCCACCTGGAAAGGCCGGGTTGTACATGTCTGAGGGCCTGCCTCGCTCGCTGCTTGCCCGAGAGGATGGTACCTCTTCTTGCTCCGGCTCGTTGATGGACTTCCTTCTTTTGAGCGCCAGCTCTTCTTCTCCTTCTTCTGGAGCTTCTGGTTCCAGGTCTGGCCACTCTGGAGAGTACTCCTGCATGTCGTCCGGCTCGTAGAACCTGGGCTGCAATGAAGCAGATCTCCTCCCTTGGGCCGGTTCTCCATGGTCTTCTTCTTTGTCCGGGGGAAGCTCCTCTTCGGTGATGTCCTTGTAGCCCGTGCGATGTGACCCTCTCTTAAACTCCTCGATGAGCTCCTGACACTCTTGCAGCACTGCTTCAATGCCAGTCTTCTCGTCTGTGGTCGCGTGTCTGCATTGCTCTCTCGCAACCTTCCACAACTCCCCCATCATGGATACCCAGAGATTAGCTCCATCCAGGGTGATCACGACTCCTGGCCCGACCCACCTGGCCTTGGTGGAGGCTGCACTGTCATCCACAATGCCACCATGCTTCCTCTTCTTCAGTCGTGGGACCCTGTAGACTTTAAACGGTCCATGTTCTTGGTCGGGCTTTCGTGGCACGCTTGAAGGTAGTACGGGCATTGTATTCACAAATGGCTTGTGCGCTATTCGCCTCATGTGGTGGAGCTTCTCGATGTCGTCGGTGCACCCCATCCAGTATAAAGTTGGGTCCACCGCCTCATCCGACAAGATGGATGTAGGTAGCCGGGGCCATTGCCCAATCTGGCGTTGCACTGGGGCAAAACCCGACCTGTTGGAGTATCTGTTCTTCGCCTGCTCCACCTCCGTCATTAGCCTTCGGAGGTCTCGAAGGTCTTGCACCACCACTTCACTCCGGGCCTTGTCCAGCAGTTGTTTGAAATGTCCTCCATGCCGCTCTGTCTTGCCCTGTTGCCATGGGGCCTTGGTGGCAATCTGGTGGACCACGATGCCCTCAGCGGCAGCCTTCTTGATGAACTCCCCCAAGAACTCGCGCCCTGCGTCGCAGGTGATCACTTCCGGACTTCCAAATGTCCTTGTCCAGGTTCTGGCGAAGGCATCCCATACCTCATCGGGACTCTTTCCGTTGATGACTTCACACATCCGGTAGTTGGTGCCCCAATCCAGCACCGGCACGGTCTGTTTGCCATCTCCTGGAGCCGGCGCATAGAAAAGATCCACCCCAACCCGATTGGGTTGATATAGGCTCTCGGCGCCGCTGTTGGCCTCGGGATCTTGGGATGCTGCTTTGCCTCGCAGATGTCGCATCTAAAGTTCTTTGAGGCCCACTGAATGAGTTCTCCCCGGACGCGAGCAGCCCGAAGAAATCTGATGAACTCACGGTTCTGTGGATGTCCCACTGCCTTGTGAACTCTCATGACCGCTCTCTTCTCTGTCTCAGAAGGCTCGTAGTCCCCAGGTCCCTCTCCTTGGGCTTCATCTTCCACATCGTCCTCATCGTCCGGTTCTTCTCCTTCTTCTTCTTCTTCCATCGCATAGCGCCCAAGGTCCTGGCCGTTCAGGTGCTCCATGATCGACTTCGCGATGGTCGCGCAGAGCTTCTCGGGGTAGACCTGGGCTCTTCTTGGCTCGCCGCCCATCAGCGGCGTGTGGAAGTGGCTGTGGTCGCACCGCACCTCTAAAGCCTTGAGAACCGGTGGCATGTTGGACAACCAACGGGTTCTCTTCCGATTCAGTCCGGTTCCATCTACGTTCAACCCGAACATGCATTGGTCACATGTCACCGTCTTGACGTCAGCATGGGCGGCCAGCTTCTGCATTTCGGGGTCTTGCCACGAGGATGCTCCATCAGGGTGCTCGAACAATATCGCGCCTCCTCGTTTCAGCTGCCACTTCAGCACCGCGATGGCTAGTTGTAGATGTTCTTTGCCAGTCCTTAGAAGGTGCACCTTCCTCTCCATCGGCATTCGACCCCGGTTGATGGCCTGTAGCTGACTGAAAGCGGTGCAAGGCGGACACGCTATGATCACCTGGGGGGCTCTCTTCTCTCAAAGCCTTCCACATATGACCTGGATCGGTCAGGTCCCACCCGGTCATCAAGTCGAAGCTAGTGCCAGTCACGTGCCCAGCTCTGGCGTCACCCGTGGAGGGCTGTACAGCTCACTCAGAGTTACCTTGAACTTGTTCTCCGCCTTCTTCATGGCATGGCTCAACATCTGGCGGTTCTTCTTGCTCAGCTGAGTGACTTTGCCATCTTCCCGCTCGTCCTGGAACCTGGATCGCCTCGTTGAGCGCACCTGGACATAGATCTCGGAAGCCTCCTTTAGGATGTCATTCTGCGTCTCTGCCCATTCGCCCTTGGCTCAGGATCCAGTAGGACTTCTCCACGATGAAGTGTGGGTCTTTTCCATCTCTAGCCTTGCTTGCCCAGCGTATTGCCCGCCGGGTTGCGCATTTTGCCCATTGAGTGTCCCCGCTCAGTCCTCGTCGATCTGGATGATGGGCGCCTTCTCCTCGCCGTCCTTGCTGCTCTGGATGGAAACCCGTGACCAGCTCTGACATGGTACTGATGAAGCCACTGCCAGCGCCGCCGCAGGGGCCTCCCTCTTCGGACTCTTGGACCGCCTTGGGTTCAAGGATGAAGCCGCGGTCTTCGCATCCTCGATGTCCGCCTGGTCCTCCTCCGGGATCCATGCAAAGAGATCGCACCTTCGTTGCTCGCACTTCCAAAACATCCGGCCCTTCCGCGGGCCCTCCTTTTTCACAACCAAGGCCTCGGCTGGTTTGCCGCACTGACAGGTCATTCGGGCCTTGGGAGGTGGAGAGCGCCTCGAACTGGCCCTTGGGTCGTGGGCCGCCTCCGGCTTGGCCTGGGCTTGCAGGATCATCTGCGTGAGCTTCTCCTGGCGAATGTCTTGCTCTCGACTTGCCACGTTGGACCTCTTGATCTCCTCCACCATCTGCTGCATTTGAGCCGCCGTCAACTGCGACAGGTGGATGGTGTTGGCGGCTTGCTCGTTCCTCATTTGCTGCATCATGATCTGCACCTGCATGTCCATCTCTTGGCGAAGGTCTTGGCGGATCTGTTGCAATGGCTCGTCTCCCGGCGACATCGGTGGTGTCACCAGGCTTTCGCTGATCCGGCCCTCGCTTCTCATCGGAGTCCTCAGAGCGGCTTGCGATGCCCGTGTCGGTGTCCCGGGTGTAGTGACCCCCTTCTTGTCCGGCTGGGTGGTTGTGCTCAAGGGGCCGTCTTTGAGCATCTTGCGGATGTCCGCTGCCCTTTCTGTATGGGCCCACCTGGAATGGCACGCTCGGCATACGAGGTATGAGGTCGAGCCGTTTCCACCACCCTTCAAGCTTGCCTTCGGGTGGATGCATGCACTTGCCGATGTAGTCGGAGGGTTCTTGCTCTGCAGAGGCCGCAAAGGATTGGCGGTGAGGATCGCCTCGGCATAGTAGTCCTCCATGGTCTCCATTGACCGCCGCCCCCGAGCGCGGCGAGGCCAAGTCCAAACACCAGGCCTCGGCGGTGGCGTCTTGGAGCGCCGCCAAAGTCAGGAGGATGCCAATCTTGTCGAGAACCACCCTCCAATTCCGCAGCGGAACTCGAGGATTGGCCACATGGTGCCCCACTTCCATCGGAGTTGGATCCGTCACCAGAGCCTTTGCCTTTTGAAGGAGCGACGCCATGGGTGGCTGGTGGACGCGATGGGCGTCTTTGGGCACGCGACCGAATTGAAACCCTTGCTCACGTTGAGCCGGCATAGCTGTGGTCGCAAAGCATGCGTTCTCCAGCTCAAACTCCTCTTGACGACCGGCCTGTGGTGGAACATGGAAACGTCCTGCTGAAAAAGAAAGGATGTTCACGGTGACGTGTCCACTAGGCATTTCATGCAACGGAACTACAACTCCATGATCTTGCAACTTCAGGTACAAGCCTTTCAAGTCGATCGTCACGTTCAACGCTTTCAAAAGACGGACCGGAAGCAGCAGTGGCACGTCCCCCTGAACCACTGTCGTCTCTAGCGCGCCATTGACTCCCCCGATGCCGATTGGAACCAAAGCCACCCCGCTCTACAATGGCGCTTCCCCCAACACCTTTTGCAGAAGATTGTTTGGGCACCCACTTGATGCGAAGTCCACGAGTGGCCAACTCCCGTTCCAATCGAGCGAGAGGTTCACGTCCGACCAAGCCCCCCTCACCCTGAGCATCGAAGATTGATTGTAATCAATAAACTTCATAGTTTTTTGAATTGATTTTTTCAGATTGATTTGAATTGATATTTTCAAAAAGTCTCAGATTGATTTGTTTGATTTTTCCCGAAAGCATTGCGAAGGGTTCTTCCGGAAAATCCTTTGAACACTGACACTTCGACACTTACACTTCTGAACACTGACACTTCGACACTTACACTTCGACACTCACACTGACACACTTACACTTCGACACTCACACACACACACACTGGAAGAGCGAAAGCATCCAAGTGTGAAGTATGCCAGGGCGAAAGCATTCAAGTGCGAAGTATGCCAGGGTCAAAGTATGCAAGTGTGAGTATGCAAGCATGCAATGACTATGCAAGGGCAAGTGTGAGTATGGTAAAGATGGAAAACTAGCACGGGAGATGTCCTAATGAAAAAACATTTCCCCACTTTATAAATTCTCTCTTAAAGGCGGAGGGTGGGACGAACAGCGTCAACCGAAAGTGCAACCCTCTGCGGAGATCGTGCGTGTGGAGTGAGCGAAATGCAGGCGAGAGTGCGATTTGCCGGCTGTGCGCGCAACCCTCTGCGGAGATCGTGCGTGTCGAGTGCGCGAAATGCAGGCGAGAGTGCGATTTGCCGGCTGCGCGCGCAACCCTCTGCGGAGATCGTGCGTGTCGAGTGTGCGAAATGCAGGCGAGAGTGCGATTTGTCCGGTCCGCGCGCAACCCTCTGCGGAGATCGTGCGTGTCGAGTGCGCGAAATGCACGCGAGAGTGCGATTTGCCGGCTGCCCGCGCAAGCCTCTGCGGAGATCGTGCGTGTCGAGTGCGCGAAATGCAGGCGAGAGTGTGATTTGCCGGCTGCCCGCGCAACCCTCTGCGGAGATTGTGCGTGTCGAGTGCGCAACTGTAGTACGCAGAGTAGCTGGGGAGCTGGAAGCGGAGAACTGGCGACGTGGTAGTGCGAGAGTAGTGCGCGGAGTAGCTGGGGAGCGGGAAGATGAGAACTGGCGAGTGGGTAGTACAACTGGAGGGCGTGGAGTATCTCGGAAGCTGGAAGATGAGCACTGGCGACTTGGTAGTACAACGGTAGTACGCGGAGCTGCTGGGGAGCTGGAAGCTGAGAACTGGTGACTTTGTAGTACAACTTGAGTACGCGGAGCAATCTGTGGAGCTGGAAGCTGAGAACTGGCGACTGCGTAGTACAACTTTAGTACGCGGAGTAGCTGAGAACTGGCGATGTTGTAGTACAACGTTAGTAGTGCGCGGAGTAGCGGGGGAGCTGGAAGATGACAAGTGGCGACTTGGTAGTACAATTGTAGTACGCAGAGTAGCTGGGGAGTGGGAAGATGAGAACTGGTGAGTGGGTAGTAGCTGAGAACTGGCGACTGTGTAGTACAACCTTAGTATGCGGAGTAGGTGGGGAGCTGGAAGATGAGAACTGGCGACCTGGTAGTACAACTTTAGTACGCAGAGTAGCTGGGGACTGGGAAGATGAGAACTGGCGACTGGGTAGTACAACTTTAGTATGGAGAGTAGCTGGGAAATGGGAAGAGGAGAACTGGCGAGTGGGTAGTAGCTGCGAACTGGCGACGGGGTAGTATATAACTGTAGTGCGCGGAGTAGCTGGGGAGCTGGAAGATGAGAACTGGCGACTTGGTAGTACAACTAACACGTGCCTTTGACAACAGGCAGTGGAAGCCAGCTTGCTGGCTGACAACAGGCAGTGGAAGCCAGCTTGCTGGCTGCCATTGTCCAGATGGAAAGCCAGCACGTTGGCTACCATCATAGTTGAAGTGGGTAAGCCAGCACGCTGGCTGCCATGGTTGAGATGGCAAAGCCAGCGCGCTGGCTAGCATCATAGTTGAAGTGGGTAAGTCAGCACGCTGGCTGCCATTGTCCAGATGGCAAAGCCAGCACGCTGGCTGCCATCATAGTTGAAGTGGGTATGAGCCAGCACGCTGGCTGCCATTGTCCCCTTACCAGATGCTCACGACGATGAGCTGGGCTGTCACCGCTTGGCCGCCGGTGGGGGGTTTGGGAGGCCGCATCGCACACAAACACCCACACACTCCCTCAACTTCCACGAACACACACATACGCAGACTCGTTTCCACACGGACATAGACACACGCACAGAAACCCACACACTACCTCAACTCACTCGACTTAACACTTCTCACTACACACTTACCGCTTAACTCGCACTCTGATTTCCTACGTGGGACCGGGTGCCTTGAAAAAGCTGTGGCCCAGCTGACCTTTGAGAAAGGGTATAGGCGAAATAACCTTTGAGAAAGGGTGTGCCTGTTGGAACCTTTGAGAAAAGGATTGACTGGAAAGAAGCTTGGTGCAAAGAACCTTTGAGAAAAGGACTATAAACAATGAGAAGCAACCTTTGGGAAAGGGTTTTGTACAGAACATACTGAGACACTTGCGTGTGTCAAAAACATGTGCTGCCTGTGTGGGGAATGGTAGGTGGGTGTGGTGGTTTTTCTGTAAAGCAACAACCTCTGTAAATGGGTTTGTTTATGTTTTCTGTTGGGGTATGTGTAGGTTGTTCCTGTTTTATGTTGTGTATGGGTGTGTGTAGGTTGTTACTGAATGTGTAGGTGTGCTGGGTTGTGTTGTGGTCACTTGTGTTTGGCAACATGAGAAGGCATGTTCCTGCTGCAGCCCTTTTGTGAGCTCAAACATTTCAGAGACTGTGTTTTCATACCCTTGATAAAAGGGGGCATCTTGCCCCTTGTGAAAGGGATGAATCGCATCAGCTTTGGCATGGATGATGCTGAAGAGAAGTGGTGGCCCAACAAGCCACTGGAGAAGAGCAGCCCTGCATGGATGTGGAAACTGCAGAGGCAACACCTTGCAAAAGGTGAGAACAGGAACAAGGCTGGGAAGAAGAAGGGGTCTGGGACCACTTCCCAGGCCAGAAAGCTGGTGAGGCAGAACCAGCAAGGAGGTGGTGGAGGTGGAGGAGGAAATGATGGAGATGATGGTGGGGACCCTTGGGAAAGGGATTGGTACTGGAACAACTGGGATGACTGGGAAGAGGACTGGCACAGGAGCCCCAGACAAAGCCCCAGGACAAGGAGTCACAGCAGGAGGAGTAGGAGGCAGAGCAGAAGCAGGGACAGCAGAGCCTCACCTTTGAGAAAGGGTCGATCTTCCAGCAGTGGCAGTAGCAGGGCCAGTAGCAGGCACAGCAGGAGCTGGTCCAGGGAAAGGTCTTTCAGCCCAGACTGGAGCAGATCAGCCACACCCAGCAGAAAGGTGTGGAGGATCAAAGAAATGCCCATCCCTGAGGCCCCTGATGAGGAGGGGCCACCTTTGGGAAAGGGTGATGTGGAGATGGAGAAGGAAGCACCTTTGGAAAAGGGTATGGATGACAAGGTTGGTGAAGTGGAAATGAAGGAGGAAGAACCTGTGGAGAAGGAGGGAGCACAGGGTGGTGTGCAAATGAAGGAGGAGACACCTTTGGAAAAGGGTGAAGATGATTTGATGAAAGGCGCACCTAGCACATCTTTGGAAAAGGGTTATTTGGGCATGCACCAGCCCATGTCTCTCTTCCCCAAGCCAGGTGAAGGCCTCTCCATGAGGCAGGAGGTGGAGAAGAAGAACAAAAGGAAGAAGATCATGGTGGACTACCGCAACACCCTGGCCATCAATGACCACATCATGATGCCTTGGAGTCACTCTTGGAAAAGGGTCATGAAGTGATCATTTGCACCTGGTGTGGGAGGGACAGGGTTGCCAGGGTGAGGCACCACCTTGAGCAGATGCCTTGGTGGGGGAAGGTGGGCTTCATGGCAACCCACATCAGGAAAGGTGTTGGCTCCAAGACAAGCCTGTGCATCCAGCATGGCTGCACCATCATGTTTGATGATGCTGGGGACATCTTGCAGGAGGCTGTCAGCAAGGGCATCCAGGTGTACCCCATCAGGAAGACCATGCACTGGCACTGGTGGGCTGACAAGGCTGGGATTCCACAATTCAAGACATTTGTGGATGCTGTGGCTTGCTTCCACAAGAGTCAGGAAGCAAACCTTTGAGAAAGGGTGCAGCACAGCCCACCCTTGGGAAAGGGTGCCATGAGAAGTCCCTGAGCCTGGACCTTTGAGAAAGGGTTGCAGCCCACCCTTGGGAAAGGGCCTTGGATAACCAGCACTTAACCTTTGAGAAAGGGTGTTGAAAAGAACAAAACCTTTGAGAAAGGGTGTAACCTTTGAGAAAAGGTGTACAGTAATTCAAAAGGCATGTGAGAAACCTTTGAGAAAGGGTTTGCATGTTTTTGGCCACAAGGTGCTGCCACTGAACCAAAAGAAATACTGACCAAAAGAAACACTGCACCTTGTTTATTCAATCATAATTTGTTGTTTTGTAAAAGCAGTGGCAGCACCATGGCACAGAGACCCAATGCCTAAGACAGGCCAAACAAAACCAAAGAAATAAAAACTATATATATAATACTATATCTGTATATATATATAAACACATATTTGCTCACATATTTGGAATGTAAATAGGTTTAATAGCAATGAAAGACACCTTTGGAAAAGGGTATGCCCACATCAAAGGCACCCTTTGGTAAAGGTTTCAAGGGATTTGAGGGGTATTTTGCTTTTTGTTTAGAAAATAGAAATCTGATGAAATCTGATGAAAACCATGATTTCATCAGATTTCATCAGATTTCTATTTTCTAAGAAATCAGTAAATCATCACTTCAAATCACAACCTACAGCCTTTTGGCTCAGATCTGTCAAAGCCATGGGGAAGGCTATGAAGGTCATGAAGGCAACCTCTGCAAAGAGGAAAGTGGTAAAACCTTTGGGAAAGGGTTCAACCAAAAAACCTTTGGGAAAGGGAACCAAGCCGATGAAATCAATTCTGAAACCCAACAACTTGAGAAAGTTGGGCCAGCTGACTTTAGCTGAGAGAGTACAACAGATCTCAAACACAGCAGAAGATGAAGAGGAGGCAGCACAAGAGCTTCAGCAAAGCATGACACCTGCAGAGAAGTCAAGGCACCTTTGTAAAAAGGAGCAAGTGGGTTCTTCACACCAACCCTTTCACAAGGGAAGTTCTTCCAGGCTCACCAGCAGCCCTGCAGACCAATGTTTTGCGTTGAAAAAAAGCTGGCTTTGTTCTACTGTGGGGTGGGTCGGTGGGTGCCCCCAAACTATGGTTTGGGAATACCTGTATCTATTTGGGTTTGGGCAGCCATCCCCCAGGTTGAGGTATAAGTATAAGTTTCCAATGTTGGCACCAGCAAAACCCAACAACAACTTTTGCAGCCTTTTTGGCTTTCAGCAAGCCATGTCTTCAAACCTTTGGGAAAGGGTGTGCAAAACAAATTGGAAAAAAGAACCTTTGAGAAAAGGACTGTGAAAAATGAGAAGCAACCTTTGGGAAAGGTTTTTGTACAGAACATACTGAGACACTTGCATGTGTCAAAAACATGCGCTGCCTGTGTGGGGAAGGTGGGTGGGTGTGAGGGTCTTTCTGTAAAGCAATTACCTTTGTAAACGGTTTTGTTTATGTGTTCTGTTGGGGTATGTGTAGGTTGTTCCTGTTTTATGTTGGGTATGGGTATGTGTAGGTTGTTACTGAATGTGTAGGTGTGTTGGTATGTGTTGTGGTCAATTGTTTTTGGAAACATGAGAAGGCATGTTCCTGCTGCAGCCCTTTTGTGAACTCAAACATTTTAGAGACTGTGTGTTGTCATACCCTTGACAAAAGGGGGCATCTACAGCCCCTTGTGAAAGGGATGAACCACATCAGCTTTGGCATGGATGATGCTGAAGAGAAGTGGTGGCCCAACAAGCCACTGGACAAGTACAGCCCTGCATGGATGTGGAAACTGCAGAGGCAACACCTTGCAAAAGGTGAGAACAGGAACAAGGCAGGGAGGAAGAAGGGGCTGGGACCACTTCCCAGGCCAGAAGGCTGGCTCGGCAGAACAAGCAGCCTCAAGGAGGTTGTGGAGATGGAGGAGGAAATGATGGAGATGATGGTGGGGACCCTTGGGAAAGGGATTGGCACTGGAACAACTCTTGGGAAAGAGATTGGGGCAGGTGGGGCAGTCACACCTGGGCCAGCTGGAACAACTGGGATGACTGGGAAGATGACTGGCACAGGAGCCCCAGACAAAGCCCCAGGAAAAGGAGTCACAGCAGGAGGAAGAGGAGGCAGAGCAGAAGCAGCCACAGCAGTGCCTCACCTTTGAGAAAGGGTCGGTCTATCAGCAGTGGCAGCAGGGCCAGCAGCAGGGGCAGCAGGAGCTGGTCCGAGGTCCTCCAGCCCAGACTGGAGCAGATCAGCCACACCCACCAGAAAGGTGTGGAGGATCACAGAAAGGCCCATCCCTGAGGCCTGTGATGAGGAAGGGCCACCTTTGCAAAAGGGTGATGAGGAGATGGAGAAGGAAGCACCTTTGGAAAAGGGTATGGATGACAAGGTGGGTGAAGTGGAAATGAAGGAGGAAGAACCTGTGGAGAAGGAGGGAGCGCAGGGTGGTGTGGAAATGAAGGAGGAGACACCTTTGGAAAAGGGTGAAGGTGAGATGAAAGGCACACCTGGCACACCTTTGGAAAAGGGTTATTTGGGCATGCACCAGCCCATGTCTCTCTTCCCCAAGCCAGGTGAAGGCCTCTTTATCAGGCAGGAGGTGGAGGAGAGGAAGAAAATGAAGAAGATCATGGTGGACTACCACAACACCCTGGCCATCAATGACCACATCAGCCAGGAAAGTTCTGATGCCTTGGAGTCATGAAGTGATCATTTGCACCTGGTGTGGTGGGAGGGAGAGGGTTGCCAGGGTGAGGCACCACCTTGAGCAAATGCCTTGGTGGGGGAAGGTGGCCTTCATGGCAACCCACATCAGGAAAGGTGCTGGTTCCAAGGCAAGCCTGTGCAACTCACATGGCTGCTCCATCATGTTTGATGATGCTGCAGACATCTTGCAGGAGGCTGCCAGCAAGGGCATCCAGGTGTACCCCATCAGGAAGGCCAGGCACTGGCACTGGTGGGCTGACAAGGCTGGTATTCCACAATTCAAGACATTTGTGGATGCTGTGGCTTGCTTCCACAAGAATGAGGAAGCACACCTGTGAGAAAGGGTACAGCCCACCCTTGGGAAAGGGTGCCTTGAGAAATCCCTGAGCCTTGACCTTTGAGAAAGGGTGCAGCCCACCCTTGGGAAAGGGCCTTGGAAAACCAGCACCTAACCTTTGAGAAAGGGTATGGAAAACAACCAAACCTTTGAGAAAAGGTGTACAGTAATTCAACTATTTGGAACCTTTGAGAAAGGGTTTGCATGTTTTTGGCCACAAGGTGCTGGAGAAGTTCAGCATAGGAAAAAAGAGCCTGGTGCATGTGGTGATGTTTACACTATGTTTTTGGTCCAAAATTGTGAGCCTGGTGCATTTGATGTTTACACTGTTTTTGGTCCAAAATTGTGTGTATATATTGATTTGTATATTGATTT